TAAATCATTGTTATTTGAAGACATTATGTTTTGGAGTGATTACATATACATCAACATATAGCTTAAATAAAATCAGTACCCAGAATTGGAGTGTTTCTATAACAAAAACCCAAAATGTGTGGCATTGGCTTTGGAATAGGACAGTAAGTGGAGGCTGAAAACCTCTCCAAGAAATCACTGATGAAGCCTGGAGTTATGTTAAACACACTTAGCAGAGGCTGGAAAGGGCAAGAGGAATTTTTATTAGAAACTGTTGAAAGGGTAGTCATTGTTTTCTACAGTGAAATAATTATCTTAGTCCATTTGGACTGCTATGACAAAATGCCATTAACTAGATATCTTATAAACAAAAGAAATTTATTTCTCACAATTCTGAAGACTGGGAAGTCCAAGATCAAAATGCCTACAGATTCAGTATCTGCTACTTGTCATTGTATCCTCACATATTGGAAGAACTGAGAGGATTCTTTGCAGTCTGTCTTTAAAGGCAGTAATCCTAGCCATAAGGACTCTACCATCATCATCTAATCACCTCCCAAAGGCCCCACCTCCTAAGGCCATCATGTTGTGGGTTTGCATTTCAACATTTGAAGTTGGCGGGGGAGGGGGGCACATTCAGACCATAGCAAACTCACAGTACAGTTGCTTAGAGTTGCTTGGAAGAGTGGGGGTATACACCTAATTAAGAGATGGTTGTAGATCTGCCTGAGATGTCCAGACAAAAGACTCAAACTATCAGTTGGCCTCATTTAGACACCTTTGATAAGACACAGGGAATTCATGGCCAGAGAGATGAACTTGAAAAGAGTATTCAGTTTGAAAGTAGGATTTAGAGGAAATCTAGGTTGTTCAGGAATTACTGGGTTACAAATAAAATTATTTCTCATCCTCAATGCTATGGTTTGAGTATGTGTCCCCCAGAATCACATGAGTTAAAGGCTTAGTCCTCAAAATGGTGCTATTGAGAAGTGGTGGAACCTTTATAAGGTAGGTGTACTGGGAGGTTTTTAGGTCATTGGGGGTGTGGCCTTGGAAAGGATTCTAAGACATCTACTTCTTTTTCTCTCTTCTGCTCCCTGGTCATGAGGCAAACAGTTTTGCTCTGTTCCTGTTGCCCATCATTGCATCTGGCATTCCCACCAGAGGCCAAAAAGCAATGGGCCTGCCTGATTGTGGCCTGGGGCCTCTAAAACCATGAGCCAAAAAATTATAACTTGATAAGATAATTCTGTCAGGTATTTTGTTAGAGTTACTGACATATGTTGGGCTCTTCATTCAGTAAGAATTGTCTTTAGGAGAAATATCAAATCAAGGTCTGGCAGTAAACTTCTTAAAACAAAGCAGTATTCTCTATATCATGTGAGCTAGACAAATGAGCTTCTAAGCATCTTAAGTGTGGTGCCTCCAGTAGCTTGATATACTTAATATAGAGAGGTCTGTCTTCTTAGGACCTCATTGATGAGGCCCTAAGCATGAAGTCAACTTCTTCTAAATTTATAAAAAAACAATGTTTTTAAAAGAAAAATGTACCTTCCTAGACTAAAGAACTAAAATGCAAGGTGTTCTCTGGGCCTTCAATTGTCTGCAAGCAAAAAAAGCCCTAAGAATGTTACTCTGCTTCAAACAGGAGCCATTTACTCTCACAACTGAGAGATTCCAGTGGTAGAGCCCAGAGAGTGACACCAGGAGCTGAAGACAACAATGTTGTGACACTGTGATATAGTACAATACAAAATATGTATTTCCTCTCTGTTTCTGGTTCTTGGCACACAACTCTTTGAAACTTCCAGAATGTGAGTGTCTTTTGTATGCTAATGAGTGATTGGTGCCTAGAGGACCCTGTAAACAGCCTGAGGATGTCAATTGGTCACCAGAAAAGCTAAGGCATGATTAATTAGAGGGTTGAGACTTTCAACCCCTCCCCACTCCAGCCTCTAGAAGGAGAGAGAGTCTGTGTTTTTGTTGATCACCAATGGTCAATGATTCCATCAATCATGCTTATGTAATGAAGTCGCCACAAATGCCAAAAGGGGCAAGCAGGGTTCAGATGAGCTTCAGGAGAACTGAACACGTGAAGGCTCCTAGAGAGTGGCATCCTGGGAGAAAGTATGGAAGCTCTTCCATATACTTTACCCTATAAATCTCTCCCAGCTGGCTGTTTACCTGTATGTTTTACTATAAATAGTTAAACATAAGTAAAATATTTCCCATGTCCTATCCACTGCTCTAGAAAATTAATCACACCTGAGAAGGGGGTCATAGGAACCTCAATTTATAGCTGATAGGTCAGAAACACAGGTCACAACATGGGATTTGTGATTATCATCTGGAGTGGGGGAAATATTGTGAGATGGACCCTTTAATCTGTGGTGTCTAGTGCTACCTCCAAGTAGATAGTAGTAGAATTGAAATATACTGAAGTTGGTATTTGTTGAAGAATTACTTGGCATGTGAGAGGAAAAAAACACACATCTGGTGTAAAAAGTGTGCTGAGTGGTGTGTAAGAGAAGGAAAAACAGTATTTTCCCTATATCTTGGTAATGCTCTAGGGATCAGCACCTACACAACAGAACTAGAAATATCCCCCGCTCAAATATATTCCCTGTCCTTGAAGGAACCTGATATCAAGACACCCAAATTTCAGAGTTGGTATGGATCAGTTTCCCGTATCTACGGTGGTCATTCTGACTCAGCTCACCATTCAGTGTTTGGTGGGTTAGAGGCAAATAACTTTAGTCCACAAAATTCTCTAAATTACCACTTGTCCCCAAGAAATTGCATGCAACAAACTTCACACGCATCCAGACACACAGATCACAAGATGATGGACTTTGAGTCTGATACTGCTATTAGATGATGCTTTGGGTCCTGGTAAAAAGATGAGTGTTTTCCATAAGGGAAGGAAATGACTAATGGAGGCCAGAAAGAAGTCTGGGTTGATTGTTCTGTCAGTGGCCCCCAATGAATCAAGCTTCCTGATATTCATGACCTAGTGTGATCCTCTCCCAATTGACTCTCGGCTTGTCCAATTAACTTATTTAGTCAGTGGGGCACTAACAAATGCCCATACAAACATCTGTCTTGGGGTTCTCGCCTCTCCTGCAATGCTGTTGTTGCTATGTGGAGGAAATCTGGTCTATTGCCTGTAAGAATGAAAGATCACAGAGAGAGAGGGGTGAGGGGAGAGAAAATGTTTCTATCTCTAAATACCATCAAATTCTGAGGTCCTGGGTGTTAGGACACATGAATAATGTTGGGACACAATTCAGTCCATCGTGGGCGGGGGGGGGGGTTCCTACCAAATTCTCCATTGTAGGGGAACCAGGCTTTGGCATCTGCCCTTTTAGCAGCAGGAAGCTGCCAACACCTAAACCTCCAAACAACCAGCTCAGCCAAACCCCTCAGAGTATGAGAGGTTTTGACATTCTTTCCTATTTATTCGACTTGGTTCTCATCTCCACTCAGATTTTAACTTACTGATTTCTTATCTTGTCAGCTCTTCCATGTTTTTATAATGTAGGCTTCCATATTATCAGTATCATAAATGATGTTCTGCTGAACTTTATTTACTCAATATACGAGTACTTTGCAATTGTGTATTTTCTCACTATATTTGCGTTTATTTCTCAGCACACAGTTATAATGAGAGCCATGAACACTGAAAAAGAGCCAGTCAGGAAGTGGGAGTTCACTAAAAGTTGATTGAATGAAAATTCTTTGTTAGTATATGGTCAAATATGCTGGTCTTTTGTACTGTGCATTTTCATATTCCAGGCTCCAAAGTGAAGAAAATCATTGCTATCATGTGTATGTTAAATGCAAGATATACTTCAGAGTGAGAAAAATTCAGTCAATATTTCTAAAATTCATGATACAATGAACACAGATGAAATGAGTGTTAGTTAGCCAACCTGAGACATAATTACATTCCAGGCCCTCTGTGACAAAAGATTTTTTTCAATGTGATTATCACCTTGAATTATGTTTTCCGCATTCCCAACTAAATCTATCCTATTGAGAGATACACCTGCATATTGTCTGGCTTCCAGCTTATCCCCCTTCCCCACTGTGCTCCTCCAAAGCACTTGCTTATTAGGAATTTTTTCTGAGCCATGTCCAAGGATTTGGAACTTGGAAACATCAAACCAGTCTTGGTACATAACTTGACAAAGGAATTATCTTCTCAGAGTCCTCTCAGCCTCCCCTTGGTTCCCCTAATCCCTTCCACTCTTCCTATCTGCAATGCCTAAGGAGGGAGGGAAAGGGTCATTTGTCTCTGTGATGGCAACCAGTACTCACTGGGATGAGGTCCCTCACTTCCAAAGGTCCCAAGAGCATGTTCCTCATTTGGTGAGGTGTCCTATTTATACCAGCGACCTTCCCCCCTTGAAGAGCTTGAACAGCTGCACAATATATATATATATATATATATAACAGAATGGAAAGTAACATGACACATGTCTCAGACACAAACTCGGGAAAGGGATGTGTATCCAACACTCCTTCCAGCTCTTAAAGGTTATGCTTCTTTGAGTCCATGTCATAAAAATAACAAAGGGCCAGCAGGAGGCAGGGCAGAGGAGGCACTTTTAGGGAACATAATTTTGACTGCCTGAACCCAAAGCCTGAAGTAAAGAAGAAAATATTGAAGAAGGAAAAAAGATTGCTGATAAAACTTTTAATGAATTGTGTACTCTGGCTTTTTAAAATCTGAAACATTTCCAAACACACCAATCATTCCACTCAATGCATTTAAAAATAATTATAGATTTATTAATCAGCATCCTGGAAATCCAGAATTATGTTTCTCATTACATCCATGTCTATTTTATTTTGTTTCTCAGCGTACAGCATCTTAATGATTAAGAAT